GCTCTGCTCTGAAACACCTGAACGGCCCGTTTCTAACAGCTGCTTCACCAGCGGTCCAGATCTGTTGCCACAGTGACTCCGGACGCGCAGTTAATATTAACGAACGCACCCGCTAGCGCTAATGTACCTTGCCTGAAGCTAGACCATCATCTCGGAGCAGCAGAGCCCTTATTAACATTCCATGAGCAGGAGCCGACAGGCAGGAAGACTCGAGCACACAGCTCGCACTTTCATTGCTAATATATAAAAAAGCAACACCATGCGTGTCATGATGCCACAACAGCTCACGGCCGCAGATTACTCCGCGGGCGTCCCAGACCCCCCCATACCCAAAAATATTGTTATTTGCAGATCTACATGAATGACATAAAATCCCTGACAAATATGAATGCTACTGTATTCAACTTCATTAAAACGTTATTAAGGCCTGACCTAAATTCAGGTAATTCACAAAAAATATTATATTTTAATGGCAGCCTCCTCAGCAGATCAGCGATCCCAAAGCGTTTTAGCCGGAGGATAATAGTCCCGTTGTTATTCTTTTTTGAACAGTCTTGATGATTAAAACGGCAGCCTCTCAGCATTGTATTTCACAACTAATGGCCCCATCAAAACCACAGCTCTCTCTCTGCATCTTTCTTCTCCAGCAGCCTAATGTGAACGTTAGGGTTACTCCAGTTGCGTTCTTCAAAGTGGGGGGGCGCGGCCCCCCAGGGGGGCGCAGATGCAGACACGGGGGGCGCGATGAGACCAGCAGGAAAATGGTTATACATTTTTTCTTTTTTTAAATATTAAATTTTTTTTTTTATTTAATTTGATTCGAAAAACTAATATCATACAGCTACTATTTACGCTCTGGGGTCTCTGTGTTTCATTAAAAGCTTGACTTCTGTGGTGTTTGCGAACGCAGCCATTTTGTGTGGACGGTGCGCCAGCGGAGGGGAGAGGAGAGAGAGAGCGCACCGCGTTACCCAGAGATTGTTGTTGGTTTAGCCTTCTTTGGTTGCCTAGCGAGCTACGGCTAACGCGATATAAGGGTTTTTCCAACAAACAAAGTGGAGGGGAGGTCCTCTCCTGTCAGACTGAGAGCACTCAGCTGACCTAAAGGACTCTCTCAGTGTGTATTCTCAGTGGGGTCTTCAAAACGTTTTTGGTCACCATTAATGCTAAACAATTATTTCCGAGGCACACGTTTATATGATCATTATAGTATGAAAAAATAAGAAATAATTAAAAACGGCTATGAAAATTACTATATCGACATTAAAAAAAGAATAAGTTATAAAAGGGTGATTTTGTAAATATCCATAAAGAAAAAGTAAATCTGGTTTGCAGTTCTGTTTCATATAGGTGCTTGAGAGATGTATCCATAGATCTCTTCATGTTTGCCTCTCAAAGTGCACGCAGATTGATGACTTTTCAACTTCAATATTTAGAAATAAAATTCTTCCCGGGGAGCTTGGCCCCCAGACCCCCCTATGTGAGGTTCCACACACCACCTATAAAAATTAGCACTTTTACCCCTGCTTACACCTATATGCCGTGAGCTGATTATTCGAGCCTTCAATGGCCTAACAGTCGCGGCGGTACGTTGTGTACAGTATAATGTGTGGGGATTGTTGCAGCCTAGGAAAATTCCACTGTTAGCGCCGGTACCATTAGTGGGCGAAACCCTAAATGTTTGAGCCACCCTCTATGTAACTCAAGGCTACCCCACAGCACCCCCAAATAAATCTCTGGCGCCACCACTGAGCCCTGACTATTTTTGTGTTGGGGTGGCCCCGACTTCTTTTTTTCTTCCAAAGGGGGGGGCCTGGGACAGAAAAAGTTTGAGAACCACTGGGTACTCTGAGTGACAAAACAGTCAAACCAGTAGACAGTAGACACAACACTGTCATTGCAAGTGACCCTCAGTTGTTGACTTTTATGCTTCAACTGGCTAAAAAAAAAAATGCCCTAAATTCGTTACTGATAAAAAGGGCTTCTACTGTACCTTAAGTTGACCTTAACACTTGAACCGCCAGAGCGTTTTTGTACTAGCGCCTACCTAAAACCGTCAAATCCGCTTTTAGAATGCCAATTTTTTATAAAAACATAGGGTGCCTACATAAACACGACTTTCAGGAAAAGTCACGGACTGGCGAGACTTTAATATTTTATGAAAAAAAGTTTACATTTAGCACACACACAACACACATCACACAAATTTGACCCAGTTTGGTGGTTTCTAGTGTTAAATAAACCAACTAATTAATGAACTAGTTCAATACGCCATTATATTTATTCTTATCATTCTTTATGAGCCGCAGAAATAGTCCTTAAAATCAGATCTGTCTGTTTTTTAAATAGAAATCTGACGGCAGGCAGTTAGCTCTGCTATCACCTATGATAAATGCGGCCGCACCTAATCGCTGGCCATTCAGCCACAGGCCTCCCTCTATACAAATCAAACTGTAGACGGTGTGAAAGCACCTATTGTTTTAAATAATGGTCGGAATGTGACCTGTGAGCCTTCTGAATTACCGTGGGACAGCACATTCTAAACTAAGATGTTCAATCAATAAAGACATCTTATCTTATCTTAATAATATCTTCATATTAATAATAATAATAATAAATCATACAGTATGTGTCCGAAAGGGAGCAGGAGGAAGCAAACACAAAAATATACAACAAATATACTGCATATTAAAGCAAACGATTGTAAAGGTAAAAGTATGAGCATAACAAATAAAGAAGTGTAATGTAAACATTTACATTATTATTATGATTATTTAATATATAAAGACTATATGTTATTGAATTACAAGATTAGATATACTTTAGTATAGTATCTAAAATATTGATGTGTTCAAATGCTCTTCAAAACACAACTGAAAGTCCATGAAACTTGTCTTTCTGTATTTGTGAATGAAGCGCCATCTCCTGGTTAAAACCTGAAATTGAAAATCTGGCAACGCCCTCTTGGAAAATAGTGGGAGGGCTTAACATTCCTCTATACTGGTCTTAGGCAGGTCGTAGGCAGGAAGCTGTAAGCTGGAGTCTGAAATGAAGTTCTACATCTGTATGTATGGTCCTGCTTGACAAGCTGTCAGTCTGTTAAAAAATGTATTTCCCTACAGGGGTCCATCGAGTGTTGTTGAGGCAGGATAACAATCCTTAGAACTTTCCAATGAAAGACTCGCCTGTCAATGCATATGAGACATACCCCTATGGATAAACCACAATGGACACAAAGTGGACCAGAACAAAATGGCGACAGCACATTTTTTTCCTTGATCAGGTCTAAATGAACTAAAGACATCAAAGCAAAGCAATACTTTCGGCTGCTTCTACTAGGATGTACTTGGGGCTCTTTTGTTTGAAACACCTTCATCTTTTCAAGTAGATATACCCACTCAAAGAAATCCAAGCAACCTGCAATGTTGAACCCCTTCTCCTGTGGTAATTGAATAGTGAACACCTCTTCCTGTCAGAAGCTTGGGCCAAAACCTCAGTCCCACTGGAGAAGAGATTTGGCAACATGCTCTGTGTCTGTAAGTCATGCCAAGCTGTTATTTAACAATTGTGGGATTTCTGGCACCATAAGAGTAAACCTACCTAACCCTCTGTTTTAAGGAATGACGTAAGAAGGGAGAGGGGATTGTTTTTGGCCATTGATGGTCCATCTTGTCTGTTGTTAAACAAGGGGAAACCAGTAGAGCGAAGAACAGTGGCTTATTGATTCATGTCATGGCGCACAATTCCTGATTCGAGATGTTTCCACCTTTCTGGGACAGCTGATCTCCTGCTGAGAGGACCAACCTTACTGACGTACAGCAGCAAATTGCCCCCTGTTCATAAACCAGTTTCTCATTTCCACTTTCAACAAAACTTGTTTACCTTGGAGACGAGGACGAAAGCAATACAGGATTAGATGTACCTTGCACAATAAACTGCTCCTGGATGTTGATATGTAAAAAATAGCTGGAGTCTGATTGGCTAGAAAATGTCTATTATGCTCCTGAAAAAAGTATAATAAAACCCTTTTGATGCAGTAAGAGTTCACAGCGTACTGTAATAAACATGTATTAGCAGTACCGAGGTTCAATCTAGGTCAGGCTGAGTATGTTCTGTCTGGTTCTGGTAATCCATCAGTAGACCCAGAAAGCTCTCTGAAGATTTAATTGAGAGATGGGCTTTCAATGTTTTGGGACAAAGAAACATGAGCAAGGCAGTATTTCTCTAACTTTAGACAGAGAGTCCAGTCGCCTCAGTAATACAAAGCCCTGATTGCCTTTTGTCAAGCGCGACTCAGCATTTGCATAATGGTAATTAAAAACAATTATACAGAAGATGCATTCAAGATTCAGGTCTGCTGAACATTTGTACAGTGTCAGGGATGAGCGAAGCAGGCAAGACCCAAACGCAGATTTCACAGAAAAAACACCTTTATTCCAAGGCTAAATGAAACAAAACAGAACTCTTCCCCGTGAACAACGTCAAGACACACAAGGAACTAACAAAGACAGACAGAAAAACCAGAACTTAAATACACACAAGACTAATCAAAGAAACAAGAGACAGGTGAGGAGGGAGGAGAAAACACAGAGGTGAACACAATCGGGTAATCAGACAGGAGGGAACACAGACAGAAAGCAACAGGCAAGACAGGGGGTGAACACTTTTCAAAATAAAACAGGAAACCAAAGACAGAAAAAGACAAAACAAAACACAGACAGATCGTTACATTTCGAGCTGTACCAATAGAGTAACTAATCGAGAATCTGAAATATTATACATAACAGTTTACAGTAGATTTGAGTTTTGTGTTTTTTCTTCTATTCTTCTCCTCAGCGCCGCGCCACCTGGTTGGAAACCTGCCGCCGTACACCAACGTCAGTCTGAAGATGATTCTGACCAATCCCGAGGGGCGGAAAGAGAGCGACGAGACCATCATACAAACTGATGAAGATGGTGAGATACACAAAAGACACTTTATTTTTGTTATTATGTTAATGTTTTTTTATTGAGCAAAGGGTTAATGCTTCTTATGCTGTAGGATTATTAAAAAGCACAGAATATACGACAGGAAGAACCTTTATTGCAGACGTGTTTGGGAGTAGCACTGTAAATTAAGGAAGTGCACGTATAACTTTGAATGGTTCAATAAAGAAGCTTTTCTTTTGTCGATATGTATTTTCTAAGACTGTTTTTATTTGAAGAACAACATTTTTATGTCATTTTTATGAGCATTTTATAATTGTCCCTGTGTTTGTGTCTGTGTGTTAACAGTCCCAGGCTCAGTTCCCAGTCAGTCTCTCAGAGCCACTCCATTTGAAGACCGAATTCTTCTTTACTGGAAGGAACCGACTGAACCCAACGGAATCATCACACAGTATGAGGTACAGCAACAAGAAGCAGAGGGAACAATAATTGTTGAATAACCAAATCTATCACTAAACTCAGCCTCATTAGGATATACAGTGTGTATAATCCTTGTGTCTGCTCTCTGCCCATCCACAGATCCACTACAGTGGGGTGCGTTCGTTTGATCCCTCGGTGCCTCTCCAGCGGCCGGGGCTTACAGTGTCTCTGCCCTCCAACGCCACCCATCACCTGTTCTCTCAGCTCCACCCAGGCGTCACCTACCAGCTGCTCATCCGCGCCTCCACCTCCAAAGGGTTCGGCACTGCGACCACGCTCAACGTGACTACTAATATTTCAGGTAGGAAATACATTTGAATGACTTTTCGTCACATTCAGATAGTTAGTAAGGTAAACTATCCATCCACTACTAACCATGGACACTAATGTTGAGTTATGCTCTGTCTTCAGCTCCAACAATAGATGAGTATGACGGGTCAGAGGCTTTTCTGAATGAAACTGCAACAACCATCACCGTCCTGCTTAAACCTGCCCAGGCCAAGGGAGCTCCTATAAGGTACATGCTAACATATACAACTACCGTAGTTTTCGGACTATAAGCCGCGCCTTTTTTCCCATTTTTCGACCCTGCGGCTTATATAACGGTGCGGCTAATCTATGGATTTTTACAGCTAACGGCCACTAGGGGACCTCCTAAATCTATGGATTTTACAGGTTACAGTCCACCACCTTTAACTCTATGGGCTCTATGGCCGGTCCGCGCCCCCCACCTTTAAGCGGCGGGCTCCAGCAGGAAAAGCTGGAGGCCGGAAAAGAGTGAGACAGGTAGCGCGCAAAAGTAAAAGTGGAACCGAGAGTGGTACGACAGACAGAACGAGAGCAAGACAGACAGACATTACGAGAGCGAGACAGTTTGTCCCCGTACCACTGGTTGAAAACCACTGCTGTAGATCACTGCCGGTACGTGCGCTGGGAGCGCACCGTTTAAGTTTGAAAGTTGAAAAGTTTGTGTGTCTGAAACGCTATGTGATACAGTACAGTTTACACAGCACAGTACATGTTCTGTAGCTACTATTGCACTAAATGGTAACACTTGAATACGTTATGCAAATATGCAACTTGTTTGTTGAAATGTTAATAAATGGGAGCTTCCTCAAACAGCCATCTCTTTCCCGACAATCCCCTCTGTGCACGAACCCTTACATATGGTAATTAAACATTAAAACACCTGCGGCTTATAGTCCAGTGCGGCTTATATATGTACACATCATTCAATTTAGCTGCTGCGGCTTATATTCAGGTGCGCCTTATAGTCCGAAAATTACGGTACACAGTATACGGGAGGAGACATCAGGCCGGAGCAGCGGCTGAACCTACCTGTATTCATCTTGTGTCTCAGCAACAAGGTCCACTAAGATCTGCAGACGCTCCCATCTCATGGCGCTGCACTCCTTGTGGAAGTCGAAGGCTATATAGCTGAGGACAGAGGAGACACGGTCAAAGTGCTGTCCTCAGGTCACAACGGATGTCTAAACTTTGTTTTATCGGGCAGCGCTTCAATGTTACAGAGGTGGCAGAAATAGATGCAGTTCCCAAGCAGAGCTAAATGTTAGATATAATGTATTTAATTAAAGGTCCCCTATTATACTGTTTTTCATCCATATATTATAGCTCTCAGATCTATACAAAACATGTCTCTGAAGTGTTTGTCTGAAA